AAATGGTGGCCATGAGTGGTGGTGGCGGGCGGTGTAGAGAGAGAATGGATGGAGGTTGGAGTAAGGGAGGCGAGAGACGGTGGTGAGAGAGAATGGAGATGAGATGACGCTTCACTGCTAATCGCCGTCACAACAACAGCGGTCATGTCGAGTGGGTTGCTGCAGTGGCGAGGAGGAGGCGGTGACGACGACGACGGTGTCATTTTGGGTTTGAGAGAGACGGTGGTGAGAAAGAGTAGATGAGAGGAGAGAAATTCATTTTAGGGTTTGGATGGGTAGATAGGGTAGACTAGGGGGTGTATATATAAATTAATCTATATTATTATTAATATTAAAAAAATTTGTATCTATATATAAAATATCTTACTTTTGAAAACTAAAACTTAAAATCTGATTTTAGAATTTAGATCTCCAAAAGTATGGAATGATGTAATTTCCACAAATTGAATTTGGGTTAAAGGAAAACAAATGTCAGGGAATTGTGGTGTTTAGAACTTGTTTTATTGAGAATTGTCAATTAATTGTGTTTGATTTGTATAATTTTCCACCTGAAAATGTTGAAATTTAAAATTAAATATTGTAAAGAAAAATAATGTATTTTGTGATAAGAAGTGATTTTTGGGAATAGACAGTGCAAAAATTGAATAGTGTAAAGAAAAATTATGATTTAAAAATTGAATGGTGTAAATAATGTTTTATCCCTTACCAAGAAAAGAAAAAATTAGCTCAACCATGGGAATTTCAATTCCTCAATTTTGTGGAATTAAGGATCACGTGAGGTCAAGTGAGAAAATGAATTGACAAGAAATTTTTTTCTATCAAACAAGCTAAAAAGTAAAAAATGTGAAATAATTTCCTTCTTCCATAGAAAATCTTGGCCTATCAAACAGGCCTAACAAGCACAATAGATATCTTCTCACGAAGTTACAAGGGACAATTAAATAATAACAAAGGTTTCAAGTTACATTTTTAAAATCAACAAATTTGTGGATATTTTTCAAAAATCAATCCGATAAAAGTTTGGTCTTTTTTGTGACCTAATAAATTTTTTTGACTGATAATTTAATTAATTAGGTTATGGTCACAAATCACATGAATTCACAGTCACAAAAATAAAATTTGTAGGTTACAATTATAAAATTAGTCGCAAACATTTTTATGTCGCGTATTACTTATTGTTAAATAATTACCCATTTTATTAATCACAACTTATCCAAATAATTAATTAGAAACGACATTCATCCCACCCCACTACTCAACCACTATCAACATTACTCAAATGTCGCTGCCACCTCACCACCATGACGACCACCACCATTGCATTAACACCACCCAAACATCGTTTCCACCGCTCTACTCCATCACACTTCCAGCACCACCTAAAATCGACACCTCAACCTAACCTGCACTGCAACACAACCACCAGTGCACCACGATTTTCACTGCACCACCACCATCACCTCAAAGCCATCAACGATTAGCGAGTATTCAAGCACTGCATTTATTGATTTGGGAAAAATCAATTTAATACTCCAATCACCACTGAGTGTTACTTCTAATAGGGGCGATCTGCCCCACAGCGCCGACCACTTGACACGCGTTCTTAGCATTAATATGAAGGCAAAGAATTGTGTTGTAGTCAACGAGGGTGCGACCGTTCTTGAGGCACCTGGATTTAGTGATGTGTGTGCGCGTCCGCGCGGGTGTTTAATGGTGTTGGGTAGGGTTTGGGTTGTGGGGGTGTGGCGATGGGGTGGGGTGGGGTGGGTTGATTTTATATGGATGTACTTGATTTTTGAAAGAATTAATTTGAGTCATGATTTTTGAAAAGTAAAGTTAAAATACATAACCGTATCTAATTTTTCCAATTTATAATTTTCAATGCTATTCTTTTTAATTATTTTTACATAATTTTCAACTTATTTTTGTAATTGAAGAGATTTACAAATATGTTTGGCAAAGTATTTATAAACAATGGTATTTATATATGAGTAATTTAGAAATTGATAGTATTTTTAGGTCATGCAAAATGTTTGAATGAAGAGTTGTTAAAACTAAAGTGTTTTTTGACCAAGCATAAAGTAAGTAAATGCACAATAGACTGAGTAAGAAGCTTGTAACCATACGTGTATATGATGACATCGGTAGTGTATTTTTTGGTAATTAGACCGCTAACCAGTCGTTAACAGTTTTGTCGCACCACAATAGGGGAGTTTGCTATGCACGTACAAAAAGAGAATTTTCACGTTTTGGCTTCCACCAATTGAAGTTTTCATGCATTTCAGACGATAGTGACATGATTTACCACCATAGCCCTATGGTAGGATAGTTGGTCTACCACTCCTTCAAATGCATTTTGCGCTTAACGTCAAAAAGGAGGTGCTTCCACGATGGAGGTGCGTTTATATAAGCTTTTTTCCTAATTCAGGTTAGTCTCAAAGAATGTTTGGCTGAGCTTTAAAAATTAAGAAGTTTACTTTTTTAGTTTCGCTAATATTATGTAGTTGTCAATAGTTGGTTTATAGTTTGTGCGAGATATTTTTTTCCCCGTAATAAGGGGAGAAAAAGCAGTTTAACTCAAATTTGAATAATTAATTAGACAGATAATCATTTTCCTAAGAGGAAAATACTTTATTTGAGACACCCAAAAAAGTAGTCAGAGCACTGCATGTGCTTTAATGGCTGGATCTGCTCCTTAATTAACCAACAACTTTAATGTTTATGAATGATTATTAACAGGTTAACTTTGGTATTAATTAAAACACGGTATAGGAAACATATGGTCCCACCGAACCCAATCAATGGCTGCAAAATCATAGTAAAATAGATCGTCCGGTCCACCAAACTCTTGACATTGTAAAACAATTTCGGAGCCTAGGTGGCAGACAGTGGACTATTTTATTCTACATAATTAAGCACATGGATTTAAAAATGTCTCGTGATCATTGTTAAGTGGGACCCAGTGAATGTACCTTTTTCTCCTCCCTTACAATTACTAGTAAAAGTCCGTTTGATAGGCAAATATGAAAAATAATTTCAATTTCATGTTAGTTGAAAAATAAAAATTCACCAAATTCATAGGTATTCGTTTTTCGTGAAAACAAAGAAAATACAGTTTAAATTTTAAAGTGGTTATACCTTAGAATTCATTTTCCATTTCCACGTTGCAATCAAAGAGCCAAAATGAAATTCTTTTTCCTCAAATGTGACATTTTTCATGAAAAATGTGATAATCAATCAGGCCCTAAATTCTAAAATATATATTTTTGCTCTTTTTTTAATTATACATTGTTCGATAAAATAATATAACAAGATTTCAAACGAGAGATTATTTTTTGTTATACTTAAGAACGTGTTTGGTAGATATTTTTAATTTTTAAAAAAAAATCGTTTTCAAACATTTTTTTCAATAAAATCATTTTATACGTAGACTCATAATTTCTTTCTTACTTATAATCATACATTCTAAAAAAAAAAAATTATAATTAATATTATTTTCACAAAGTGTATTCTCAAAAAATCCACATCAAATATGACCCTAGATGTCAAAATCGAGTTTTATATTAGTCAAGGATCATGATTTATCAATTCCAATACTTGATTTAATTAACATTTTGCATCTCATGAAAAAGGTAAAAGGCTATGTAGATGTTGAAGATGTTGAGATCCCCTCTTATATAATAGCAATATTGGAATTGATTGTATTTTAGTTCTGCAAATCTCCATTCTCATTGATTTTTGCATTTTCACTTCGAATGTGAATCGATAGAAGAAGAATGTTTAAAATAGTAACGTCTCTTGATAAATAAGATTTCGATGAGATTTTCGAGGTACTATAAGCTCATCGTATTTCACGTGTTCTACGTTTGAATTCAACTATAATGTTAGACATCAAAAGAGCCGATCAATCATTAGATCAAAGGTTTACGAGTTTGAAGGAAAATGAAGCAAACATTGATTGGACAGAATTTGTTGACTATATTTCAACTTTCGAAAAATAGTTTTTATTTTCCCGTCTTTACTCTATGGTAGTAATTTTTAATTTTAAGTTTTAACTACTAGGCTTTTTTTTTTTTTTGGTTCAAATTGTTTATTATGTATT